GTATCCTCCTGCTCTGTGGTGAGATATGCCAAATCATTTTATTTAAACAGTGATAGCTTTCATTAATATTGCTTCTTGGTGAACTACCTGGAGCAGGGAAATAGGTTCTAATGTATAAATACTCTAGACAGCTTATTATAGCTTAGGCTGAAATACAAAACTAATGCAGATCAAGTACACCTGAAATCCAGTATGCACTGTTACATGGCCTTGTGGAGTCCAAAAGATTTATTTGATTAAACACTTAAGGAGAAATAACATGGCTCTTGGTAATTTGCTATTTGAATAAATTTATGTTTTTAACGTTAGAAGTGTACACTAAATTTAATTTCCTATTGAACTTTATTAGGTGTCTGCAAGGTACTACACAGTTGTTTAACTGCGTAGTTAAACACACAGTTTAACTCTACCCACTGAAAATCACAAACTTAGGTGAATGAATAAGTCTAATGGAGACAACAGGATTATCTTAAAATGGTTTGTGGAGTTTCTTCTTCTTACTTCTGTATTCTCATAAGACCATGTTGACATATGCTCTTTTATACAGGCACATACATAAATGTGCAAAATGATGAAAGATGGGTCATATTGGTGAGGGTTTACACTTTTTGGTTTGAAGAATGCAGCAAAATACTATACAAAGTGAATAGATACATTTTTAATATTCAGCAGAAAGTTAAAAGCTGTAAGCATCCTCATGCTCCCAATTAAATTTTTATAGCATATGAAAACAACAATTGGAACATTCTACTACTTGATTTTCACTTTTGATTATGTATAATTGCCAAAATACCTCAAATGATTACAGGTTTCTCATTTCAAATAGTTTTAAGTACCATTAAATATTTTGTAAAATACTTTTTAGGTCCCTAGTTGGGTTCAATTTATATTATTATTCTACTCTGAGGAATAAAATGTAACTCTTATCTGTTTGTTGCCCAAAAGGAGAATTAGTTCCTAGAAATAAAATCTTGGTTAAATTTTGCTGTATACTACTTCAAATACAAATTACCCATCACAGATTAAGACTCGGCTCTGTAAATAAGAAAATTTCCTATTTGAAATTTCAGTAAGACACAAGGTATGGAAAAAATAGAACTCTTGGAATAGCTTGGTAAAATAATTTAAAAAACGAAATGGTGTAAAATGCTGTAACCACAGCATGTAAGTAATGTTTATTTCAATAACCATTAAAGATCCACTTATAACCAGACTTTCTTTAGCACTCTTCTTATTCTTTTATAACTTTACAAAAGAAATAATTTTCTGCACTAAAGCTGACCATATTTACTTACACCTTGCCCCTTGCTTTGAAAAAAGTCTAAGAAAAACATGCTCAAATATTAATTTATTTAAAATTGAAATACACATGCTTATTCTATTTTAAGAGAAGCTTAATGGCTGAAACATTTCATTTCTCAGAAATTTAGTGGAAATATTTCCTGTGTGTGCAATGAAGCCAGTAATAAAATATTAATAAATGGAAAAATTATATTTGTTCAAAATCCATTAACTGTTTTACAGCTCTATACAGTCACATAAACATTTAAGACATGTTCTAACAAGCAAATAGTCAAATAAAATGTGTTTCAGTATCAAAAAAAGTTCCATTAATTTTTGTTATTTTTCTTCTTTTTTTTAATATATCATGCACAAAATAGAGAAAGAAATTGGGGGCAGAAATTATGGACCTATATTTTTATATATGAGATTATTTTTATAAAAATATTCAGATGGAGATGCCTGGGTGTCTCAATCAATTAAGCACCTGACTCTTGATTTCGGCTCAGGTCATGATCTCTGGGTTGTGAATCAGGCTCAGTGCTAGGTGTGCTAGGTGTGGAACTTGCTTAAGATTTGCTCTCTCTCTCCCTCTGTCCAGCCTCCTCCCCAAGGGCTCTCTCTCTTTAAAAAAAAAAAAAAAAAAAAAAAAAAAAATTCATATGGGTGACACAGAATTTAAGCTATTACTCTTATTCTAGAATGAAAATGATAAACATAGGGGCACCTGAGTGGCTCAGTGGGTTAAAGCCTCTGCTTTCAGCTCGGGTCATGATCTCAGGGTCTATTTTAATACAAATTCAATCTCATATGTGTGTGAGAGTATGTTTGTCTGTATTAGGCATGAAGTTTTGTTTGACTTGCAAAGTATATGATAAAAGTAAATATTAAACATTTGCCCTCATCATGGTGTATATAGAACATATGCTAATATACCAATTCTCAGGTATCTATTCCAAAGAAAATGTCTGAGAAAATGTTGCAGTTCACAGGACTTCTTGAAAATGAGAATCATTATTATTATAATTAGGATTATAACCCAGCAGTGGAGCACAACAACCAGGTTCAAAACAAAGCTTGCATAGATAATCTTCAACCTGCTTAATTTATGAACAGAGTTCTAAGTATTGACAGAGGCTCCAAACTTCAGGGCTCAATATTAAGAAATTCTGACTCTCAGGGCGCCTGGGTGGCTCAGTGGGTTAAAGCCTCTGCCTTCGGCTCAGGTCATGATCCCAGGGTCCTGGGATGGAGCCCCACATCCAGCTCTCTGCTCAGCAGGGAGCCTGCTTCCTCCTCTCTCTCTCTCTCTCTCTCTCTCTGTCTGCCTCTCTGCCTATTTGTGATCTCTATCTGTCAAATAAATAAATAAAATCTTAAAAAAAAAAAAAAGGAAAGAAATTCTGACTCTCAGTATTAACAGCAACCAGAAAGGAATTTTTTAAATGTAGCCAATAAAACAAAAACTTAATAAATAAAATAAAAGACAGACAAAAGTTTGATAATATTGATAATATTGTATGATTAGACATGTGGCTACTGTTAAAATTCTTTGTTTAAAGAAGGAAAACTGAAGTCTGGTGCTATCATTATTCCATTAGTGTAATTAGAGAAAAATATTTTTAATGAAAAAGTATAAATTTAAAAATTTTTCTAAAATATCTCCTGAAAAAATGTTTTCCATTCCCGAAAAACAAATCAGATAACAGATTATATAAAAATGTTATTTTTGTAAACTTTAAATTCTCGGAACTTTATAAAGATGTTATGTATATCCCTTTAGCTTCATATATACATATATATATAGTTTCATACATATATAGCATATATCTCATATATTTGTGTGTATATATGAGAAACATATATGTGTGTATACATATATATATATATATATTTGCATATACCTTGCAATATTCTTACATATACTTCTAATACATACTTCTACCATCACCTTAATGCTAGAAAAGAGAAAGATTGTACGTGGACCAAGGATTACCCTTGGTTCTTTAGATTTTAATGGATGAGGCTTAAAACATTTAAAGACACTCAGAGTCCATGAATAATTTGTGTGTAATATTCTTCACCTTTGTGGTGAGTAGATCAACAAGTTTTGCAAAGGTTAAAGACACCTAATTGAGATAGAAGAGAATTACAACTCTGAATTGTGTTGGAATAATGGTGCATGCACTGTGGTGAAGCATCTGGATTTAGATCTCACCTTGCCCACAAGACTGTGAAAGTCCTCTTTAATAACTTCCTTAATAGTTCTGATCTCAATTTTCTAATCTATAAAATAATATAATAATATATATAATAATGAGAGGACATATTTCAGAGATGAATTTATCATGAAGTGAATAAAGTCTAAGTTCAGTGCCCTGACAATATGTGATTGGGTATAATAGTTCAAAACTTGCAAAAATTTTGCAAAAAGCTTTGCAAAAATTTGATCTTTCTCTTTTGTATGTTAGGGTTTATACTGAATATTAAATTAGATAAATAAAAATGATAAAGCTTTAGGATTATGCCTAGAACAGGGAAAACCCTTGATTAATGTTCATTACCATTATTATTATCAACCACCATAGACAATTTGCTTGTGTTTATTTTTCCCATTGCTGCATATGATTGAATATTTCATATCTTAAATAGTATGGCTTAGGGGTGTTTAGGAAAGAGCTTAATATATTAACAGAGTTTTCTATTTACCAAATTCGGAAAAAGAAATGGTATGAAATACATTAATTCAAATGTTAGACTTACAGATACAAATCTAAGAAGGGGTAGCTTTTAGAATTTAATCAAGGCCATGTTTGCATTTTGGTGAAATATCTAAAATATTTATTCAGAAAAAACTGGTACTATGCAGAGTAAACGTGCTTAAATGAGATTTCATACACTTGTCAAATTGAACTCCCCAGAATTATACTAATCTTATTGTATCCATACAGAAACATCTACATATTCAGGGACTTAGCAATGTATAAAAAAATGGCCATGCCATTTTCTAAGACACAGTTTCGGAACATATGATAACTATTTCACACTCATAATGTAAAATCAATCATATTCATATGATACCTATTTTACTATTCAAAATCAAATGTCCTCATACCTTTAATCACACACCTAAAAGTTACAGACATAAGCTATCTCTATAAATTATGATTAATTACACAAAGAATCATAATAAATAAGTATATGGACTTGTGATTAAGCTCTACCTTTTGAATTTTCTATTTTACTTAAACAAAGGAGATATATACATGCACTGCTTATGAATAAAATTCACCAGGAAATTTGTTTATATTATAATATTGTATTTCAAATAATAGGAGTTTGACTATTACCCTCACTGAATCATCAAGTCAATATAGGAATTCATTTCATGCTTCAAGATAAAACAAGTTTAAGATAAATACATTAGAGTTGGCTCTAACAACAGCTTAAATTCTGAAGCAATACTAATTTATACACATGTAGAACTGCACCTTGATGACTTTTAATGTGAGATGTATATATTTTTCTATGTAATTTAAAGTCCTGTTCAGAAAAGAATGCTAGCTGTGTTTGTCTTGCCTTTTCTGAGTCAATCATGAAATCACCTCATGAATTAGCTGAGCAATACTAAGAATGAGGAAGTTGTTTCTTTCTGCTCTGCTCAGTGGAGATAGAAAGGTAAGTAAGTTTAATTCACATAGTGAGTTGAATGGCTCAAATCACAATGCCATTTCTTGCTTCATGCTGTGCCCATTTAGTAAAACTGAATTGGTTATCATGTTTTTAGCCTTGCTTTTCAGAGATGTCATACGCACTGCAGAAGAGCTGGGAAGGTAGCTGGTTGATCCCTCTTGATAGGACTTCCTCCCACAGCGGAGCTGGCTGTTGAAATGCCTCCTGAAGCTTTCACTGAGTAGATAAAGAGCAAATGGATTGACACAAGAATTGCAAAAGCTCAGAACACGGGCAACTAAGGTGACAATCATGTGGCCTAGAGATGGGTCAATCTCATTATAATTGAAAGACCTATACATGTAGAGAATGTGATTTGGAAACCAACAGAAGACAAAGCAGCCCACGAACACTAGCACAATTTTAGCCAGGCGCTTCCGTGTCTCCATCTGCAAATACAAGGAAACAGTTCCACTGGTTAAAATGAAAATGGAACCACCCACACGCAAAACATCATGGTGCAAAAAGTAAAATTTACCATGGCATGCAAATGCATCTAAAAACACAAAAATTATTTTCCTCAACAAAGTGATGATTTCAACAGTTTGACAAAGCCTATTTTGGTCACTATACCCTTTCATCTAAAAATATTTGACAGCCTCTACAAGACTAGATGATAAATTATTAATAAATAGCTATGTCTTCATGTTAAAACTGTGACCTATAAAAATTCTCTCTTATTTTTTTTAATATTTTATTTATTTATTTGACAGATAGAGATCACAAGTAGGCAGAGCAGCAGGCAGAGAGAGAAGGAAGCAGGCTCCCTGCTGAGCAGAGAGCTGGATGTGGGGCTCCATCCCAGGACCCTGGGATCATAACCTGAGCCCAAGGCAGAGGCTTAACCCACTGAGCCACCCAGGCGCCCCTCTCTCTTATTTTTAACTACTTTCCTGTTGCTTAGTCTTCTGTGTTCACTTTAAATATAAATCATTAGTTTGTGTTAAATCTACTAAATTAATGAACCACACAATATACTTAAGATTAGATTTGTTTTAATCAGGGTAATTGAAATACAGCATGACTTTTTAAATCCCTATTCCACAAAAAAACCCAAAAAAATAAAAAAACAAAAACCCAACCTTGAGATTTAAACTTCTCACTCACATAAATCAAAATCTTCTGATATAACTATCAATCCTATAAATATTACTATGTTAGATTACATTTAAAAATAAAAATATATTTTTTTTCTTTTCTTAAACTTCACATAATGCATTTACTGTTTTATAAGAAAGCCTTCAGGAACGTGACAGACAAAATTCAAGTATTGGAAATAAATTTTTTTAATATAAAAATCATATTCTAGGGGCACCTGGATGGCTCAGTGGGTTAAAGTCTCTGCCTTCGGTTCGGGTCATGATCCCAGGGTCCTGGGATCGAGCCCCACATCGGGCTCTCTGCTCAGCGGGGAGCCTGCTTCCTCCTCTCTCTCTGCCTGCCTCTCTGCCTGCTTATGATCTCTGTCTGTCAAATAAATAAATAAAATCTTTAAAAAAAAATCATATTCTAACATCTAGAGTTCAAGGTTTAGCTCATATTTGTCCTGCTTCCTTAAATATTTAAATGAGGCAACATGAATGTGAAAACTTAATTTATCAAAGGATATTGATAGTAGGAAAAATGATATTTCCTAAGCTAAAACTATTGATAGTGAATTAGAATATGCCAAAGAAAACCATAGTGAGTGGTGAACCAGGGAAGCAAATAAAGATGCAGTAAAGAGGAGGAAAGAAATGTGGTACCCCAGATGTGTCCTGGTGGTATGAGTTAAGCAACCTGGGAATATTAAGAAACTCAACTGTGAAATTTAGGTTATGAAGCAGTGTCCACCCTAGCAGGTGGAACATGGGTGGAACAATCTTACGGCAGCCTATACTCAAAGACTCAAATGCACAGGTTGGCTATTGGCATTGAGATTACTTCATAGCTGATAACACGCCTAGCTACCCAGCCAGAGTTTATAATTCCCAATAGAGAAATTCACAAAAACAAGGCAAAACTAAGGCCATTTTAAAAAACAAAAGTGGAGGTGGGAGGGTAAGAGGAACTCAATTTTAGAAACCAAAGCAAAAACTCAAATACTCAAATTGAGATACAAATTGGATCAGAGAGCAAAGGAAAAAGTGCATTGAGCCCATGACCTCAAATTTTTTTTGTTTCAATGATGCTAGATATTTAGATAATAAACCTATTAACTTATCTATAATTACTTTAGTGATGGTTGATTTTTTGGCTTTTAAAGAAGTTGGATCTCTGATGTTGATGACCATCAATATATAGAGGCCACTTTCCACGCAAGAACTCTTTCGAGATTCTGTTGTTGTTGAACTGCGCAACGCCCCAGTCCGTGGCTCCATTTACAACCTAGCAAATTTTAATGATCTGCCATTCAACATGCCTTTAATTTGGTGAAGACCTAACCAAACCTCCCTGTACCTACAAAATCCTTTGGAAAAATTTCCTCTCTGAGAGTCCACAAAAGCACAATTTGAAACTCTGTCCCACTAGACAGTATTTCCAGCTATTTGTGGATTAACATAATTTATTTTACCTTAAGTTAGTATCTCTGTATATTCCTTAAGGAAGAAAGACTGCGTAAGGTGCATCTGTAATTTTTAAATTAGCATATGATTTTTATAGGACAAGCTATAAAGTTGAGTTAAAGAAAGTATGACTTCAGCGCCAGCCACCTCTGGATCACTCTCACCCTTGTTCTCTGCCTTCTGTTCCCACAGCCCCATTCTGGCATCCTATCCAAACAGCATCCCCAGTTCCCAGACCGTGTCCTACAGTCCTTTCCTGATGAATCCTTCTCCCAGATTTTCTGTCATCCTTAATGGGCTAATGGGAGGAGAGACAATAATTAAATAAATTTATACTTGAAATTTTAATTTTCTGGTTTATGTTGTTTTTTTGCATTAACATTTACAGGTAAGGAAAAGCCTTCAAAGACATTAAGTTTTAACAGCTCCAGGCCCAGATGGCAGATAAGCTGGGCTTCACTGGACCTCTACAGAGCTGGAACATGGCCACATATCGGAGGTGCCTCTCCTCCTCCTCCGGGCACAACATCCCTTCTAGTCCAGGCTAATGCAAATCCAGTGCACTGTGACCCTGTTCTAATCTTTCACAGTACTGAGAACCCATGAAACAGAACAGAAAATAGCAGTTAAGGCATCTGACCCACACACCCAGAACACACACACACACACACCCCTACCAAACTTACCTGTTTTTTAGTATGTTCATTGTATTCTCCAGGAAGATTATGTGCACTTTTAATTAAGGTCTTTGCAATATGATAATAATAAACGCTAATAATAGCCAGTGGAATGAGGAAATAGACCAAGAAGATGAGCACTGAATGAATCTTTGGGTGTAATTCATCCGTCTGAGGGTAAGGTATACACGCAGTGAAGTTGCCATTTTCCAAGCTATCAATGTGCGTCACTTCTGAAAACACGGCTTCTGGAACCGCCAGCAGCAGGGAGATCACCCAGATCCCCACCGCCTTCATGCAGGTCCACAGCACCGCCCCGGATGTCTGGATGTCCATGGGGTTGACAATGGCTCTGTACCTGGAAAGACAACATGCCTCACATCACTCTCTTAGAAGAAAAATGTAAAAGGAAGGAGAACGAGAGAGGAAGGAAAGGAGGTAGGTGAGGAGAGGAGGAAGAAGATGCTACTTGCTAATATTCCATACTCGTTAGCTGTTTTGTAGCATATGGAAGACTTCATATCTCACTGTCAGTCTGTCTGCAAGTCATTCCACTGCTTCAGGAAAGAGAAAGGGAAAGATTTTAAACAATCATTCACCAAATTGCATTAATTTGCTTACCCCTTTCACAAGTCTTATTCTAAATCAATACTACTACAAAGTACCATCATTTATTGAATTTTTGTATTTAAATTATTACATTTTAAAAAAAGTTATCATTACCGAAATGGCTATAATATACAACAAACCTAAATTACAAAATGACTACAAAATAATATTACTGACTTCTATCTCGATACTCTTCTTCAGCTTTTGAGCCTGAGTCTCCCAATTTTTCCTGAAGACATCAGTAAATCTTACAGACTAACCTAAACAGGGATTTCTGCCATAATTCAATCATAAGAACTGTAAGAACTGAAGATGAAATAACAGTCTGTCTTTGCAGCTCAAATTTATTTTATGTGGAGACCTCATGAAATCCTCTCTTCCTATTTAAAATCATCATAATGGTAAAAGGAACCACACTCCAGGACACAGGGCTTAAACAATCCAAATGGCTAACTCAGTCACACACTTTAGGGTAATAATAATGCAAACAAACCAAAATTATATGTGAACATCAAATTATTTATATTTTTTTCTGAAAGTATTTCAGCTCCAGTAAACCTAGAAGGTAACATGATAATGGTAAAAAGTGATTTTAGTCAAACAAATCTGAGCCATTGTCTTATCTCTGATATCCTTTGGAAAATCACTTAAGATCTTCTTCATCTATAAGGTGGAGATAAAAACATTTCTCTCAAAGTTTTTGATTATAAAAAAAGGAGAGAGCAGCTATTACCGTGACTGCCAATTAGCAGATATTAACCATTCCATGACTCTGTACATTCTCCTTATTTATATTTGAGTTAGTCTGGTGTTCTAAAAAATTCAGAATATTTCAAGAACCATAATAAGCAGGTAAGATCTTCTGAGGTCCTCTCCAGCTGTTTCCCATTTCCTGCAGAGGAACAGCTCCTAGCCTGAAGGGAGCCTCTCTTTCTCCTTCCTAATTTGTATCAAATGTCATTCCCAGGCCCTCAATAAGAGAAGATCCATATTTTTATCTAGAGTCTTCCCATGTATAACAAGAAACATATAAATTTTAAAGTAGAACAACAGCAAAGGGCCTTGACAGCAAATTAAATAAAGTAGCATACGTAATGCATTTATTTTACCCAGACTTTGCACATGGCAGAACACAGTAGGCATGTGTTCCCTCCCCATTCGGCTTAACTGGATGTTCTTAAGAAACTAAAAGAAGAATTACAATCAGTAACTAGAATGAGCTGTTTTATTTTTTCTGTTTTTTTTTATTATTATTAGATTAATATATTCAAAGAGGTTTTTGTTTTGTTTTGTTTTTGTTTTTAGTCAGAAAGCACTACAAGCCTATAAAGAAAAATAGAAGCTCCTGATTTCATTTCAGGTCCTGCTCCTGGGTTGAACCAATTTCACATCATTACCTCCATATGTCTAAAAAATGTCCTTCTGCCACTGTCTCTTGAAATAAATATTATAGACATTTGCTCTCAGCAACCTGTTATGGAATTTGAAGACTTTTCTCTCTTATTTCACCTTTATTCCTCACATTGCCAACTTCCTGATTTAGTATGCTATATTAAATGTTTATAAAGTAGTCACTATACTGTTATTATGGCTAAACAAGTATCTCACACTGCAAGATTAAGTAATATATTACATTTTCTTTCTTAAACATGTCTCTGACTTATCTAAAGTTGCTACTTGATCAGTTTTGTTTGCATAATTTTCCATGTTCCTGAATTTACTTTTTTAAAAAAAGTTCTTCCACTACCTTGTTGGATAATTGGAGTCCCAGTGCTTGAATCTCAATAACTCTCTCTTAGTCTTTTACTTTAATCAGCTCATCTACACCTTCCTTTTGGTTTTACTTTCTAAGATACTTTATTAGCTTTAGCTTTCATTCTTTCTTCTGACTTCTTAAATTTCTGCTATCATATTTTTAATTTCTAGAAGTTCTTCCTTGTTTTCAAGTCACTCTTTTGCATAGTATACTTTTCTTATGAATATAAGTTCTTATTATATGTCTATGGAACTAATTCAGAAAAATTTTTTTTCACTTCTCTTTCTCATATAGTTTCAATAATAGCTAACAATAATAACAGCACAATTTCTCCAAAGTTTCAAGCAAAAAAAATTTTTTTGTCATAATAAAATCCAAGTGAATAACTATTTAGAAGTAAGAAACCTAGTGGGAGTATAAGACCTGGGTAGAGAAGGCCCTTCCAACAGGGTCGATTACTGGTCATGTATCGTGCAAGGAAGGGAAATAGACTTTGGATCTTTCCCTAAATGATATACATATAATGGAAAGGGGAGTACTGTTCCCTTCACAGAGTCCAGTAACTATATTTTAGTACAAATAAATATCATTTTCACCGTGAATCCATTTTTTTCTTTTTGTATGTTCAGTTGTCCCTCTTTGCTTTTTTTTATTTTTTATTTTTTTAAGATTTTATTTATTTATTTGACAGGCAGAGATCACAAGCAGGCATAGAGGCAGGCGGGGGTGGGGAGGAGCAGGCTCACTCCCTGCTGAGCAGAGAGCCCAAAACGGGGCTCCATCCCAGGACCCTGAGATCATGTCCCGAGCCAAAGGCAGAGGCCCAAACCACTGAGCCACCCAGGCGCCCCTTTTTTTATATTAATTGCAAGCTGTTCTTGAAATTCATGGAAATATAATTAAAATAGATAGTAAAACAAAACAAACAAACTAATACATTCAAAGACTTTTATTTGTTTGGTTTCTTTATGCTAGAATTTATCCCCAAAAGTTAGATATCTACTACCTACCAATTAATATTTAAGATCAAAGTACAAAAAGCTGATGGTAAATTCTTTTATACATGGAGGAGATGAGAAAAGACCAGAGAAGTTTTGGGGGGCAGTGATGATTACTAAAAATTGATCAATTAGCTAGCTTTCCTTGTTAGATTGTCAGAAAACTCAAAGAATATTCCGAATTTTCCTTTGTGGATTTAAAAAAGAGGAAAGTCAGGGGTGCTTGGGTGGCTCAGTCAGTTAAGCGTCTGCCTTTGACTCAGGTCATGATGTCAGGGTCCTACAATACAGCCCAGCATCAGGCTCCCTGCTCAGCAGGGAGTCTGCTTCTCCCTTTCCCCTCTGCCTCTGCCCCTGTCTCTCTATCTCTCTCTCTCTCAAATAAATAAGTAAAATTAAAAAAAAAAAAAAATGAGTGGGAGGAAAACAAACATCACTCCCCTGCCTTTATTCCCACCCCACATCTAACCACATAAACATAAAGCACGTTAGGGAAACTGTGAAGAGGAATGAAAGTTATAACTCTTTCATTCTGACAAGATTGCCATAGTAGAACCAGCAACAGATCTAGAATTCTTGGTTTAGAAGTAAGAAACCTAGTGGGAATATAAGACATGGGTAGAGAAGGCCTTTCCAACAGGGTCGATTACTGGTCATGTCCTGCAAGGAAGGGAAATAGACTTTGGATCTTTCCCTAAATGACATACGTGCAATGGAAAGGGGGAGTACTGACAGTTCTATAAAGCCAGAAATCACAGTTTACAACAGATTACTGAAGTGTCATTATTAGTACTTAAATATCACATAATTGTCAGAGAGTAAGTTTTACATTAATGTTTCATGTACATACATCTTTGAAAGGATAAAAAGTCAAGCAATACAGCACAAATTAGTAACAACATGTTTAATCATCCTCCCTTTAAATATTTATAAAAATGTAGGAATGAAACTGTCCCTCAGTATGCAAACTATCTCATTAAATTTAGTAGCATAACACATGTGTGAAAAGCAATATTTTTTTTTCTTTCAGATAGTCTCAGAAAGGTATCTTTAATGGAAAACTAGAAAATAATCAATCAAAAGGGATTAAAGAGAAAAAAAGGGATTAAAGAAAACATAATTACCATTCATGTATTAAATATTTTTTAACATTTTATTTATTCATTTGAGAGAGAAAGAGAGAGACAGAAACAGAGACAGCACAGAAGGAGAGGCAGAGGGAGAAGAAGAAGCAGACTCTGTGCTGAGTTGGGAGCCTGATGTGGAGCTCTATCCCATGACCTGAGCCAAAGACAGATGTTTAACCATCTGAGCTACCCAGGTGCCCCTCATGTATTAAATATTAATAAACAGATAGGTTTCTTCATTAATTTTTGTTTTGAATCTTACACTTATCATATCTGTGTATAGTCTAAATTTAATGTAAAGGGTAATAGACTATAATCATATTACAACATATGTAACAAAAATTAGATCACTTTAGCTTGTATAAAGTCATCTCAATATCTCAAAGTCTCCATCTATACATTTCTGTAAACCTACTAGTTGCATTATCCATAGTTTCTTTTTTTCCTTATCCTTCTTTCATTAGAGGCCAGCAAAGAGTTTAAATGTGAACAATCTGACAATGGAGAGAAAGATACTGTGGAAGCAGGAGAAAGAAAATTTCAAAAAATATAGACCTTCTGTGTCAAATACCTCTAAAAACAAAAACAGAAACCTCCTTTTGCTTACTGTTGTATCTAAAGTGCAAAACACAATGCCTGACCCATAGTAATTTCTCAGTGAACATTTGTTGAACTAATAAGGAAATGTGGTCTGAGCAGCAAGGAGACCACTTTTTTAAAGTAGTTTTGGTAGAGTGTGGTCTTTGGTTATCACTTTAAGGGGAGAATGGATGTTAGAGATGGTTATACATTCTAGTCCAGTGATGCCCAAGCTAGGTCAATATATTCAGAATCACCTAGAGCTGAAAACAGTATTGGGTTTCTCCCC